CTATGAGGCCATCTTTCTAGGAGACTTCTGAAGGAGGAGGAAAAGGGAAGGGAATCTATATATAACAATGAAGGCTAAATGCTTTCTTAGAATTCTTTTCCTCAAGGTATATTCTGCAATGCAGTTGGTGCAGTGATCTTCTCCTTGGAAACCTGAAAAAGATCAGGGGAGGTCCAAGGGGGAAGCAAGTGTGGAGTTGGCTGCTGAGCCACCTCTGAGCTAGATAAACTTCTCCTCCTCATGTCTCACATGCCTAGGCAGCTCACCTGGTAGAATTCATGCTGAGCTTTGAATCCCAAAGCCTTGGATAGCATTTACCAAGCAGGAACTTGACTGCAATACCTTATAAAGAAGGCAGTTCTAGCTATAGTAGGTGATAAATGAAAACTTAGAAATGTCAGGGTCCTAGGGGCCTCCACCCACAGTGGAGGCCTACTAGTGAACATCTCCTAATAAAGTGCCATTGTTTACCAAGTTAAAGGTTAAGGCTTTGATGTTGAGTGTTGGAATGTGCATTGCAATTCACATATGCTGGTCCCTCCCCCATACCACATATCATTTGAACAGGCCCTTCTTCCTGAATGTTTGGGTAATCTTTTGATACTTAGAGTGCATGAAAATCTTCAGTGTCCATATCTCAACAATTTGGCAGAAACTATTTTTGTATTTTAAAACATAAGACAAATTATACACTTTGTCTAAGTGCCATGTTCAGGAACTCAGTGATCTTAAGTGAAGGGCATACTTAGTCCCAAACTGAGACACATGACCAACCTTCAGAGTGGCTATAAGTACCTGAAAATGTGTTGGGTTTCACTGGTGTTGTAAGTACCATGTACTTAATTAGTCCAGTCCCACGTTCCATATGATTAAGGAAGTGAAACAGAGAAATGAATCAGTACAATTAATCATTCCAATGGCATACCTGTTTAAAATAATATACTGAAAATTAAAAAAAAAACTTTGATGATAGTAAATAGGGATCTTAGCCCATTGATTCATGCCATTACAGAGTTGTTGGGAACACTCGAGAGGACATGGTTATTAATAGGGCATCTTTTATGTTTCTTCACAATGTTCCATGAACTGTTTTCTGGGCAGGATGGACTATGGTTCTGACCATTTCATTTGTATTTTTGGTCTTAAATCCATACAACCTGAATTTCAAATGTGTATGTAACTAGGAGAATATATGTGTCTCTGACATTGTCAAGATATTATCTCATTCCAGTCAGAATGGCAGCTATTATGAAGACAACAATAAGTGTTGGTGAGGACATAGGGAAAAAGTACACTCATATATTGCTGGTGGGACTGCAAATTGGTGCAGCCAATATGGAAAGCAGTATGGAGATTCCTTGGAAAACTGGGAATGGAACCACCATTTGACTCAGCTATCCCTCTCCTAATTCTATACTCAAAGGACTTAAAAGCAGCATACTACAGGGACACAGCCACATCGATGTGTATAGCAGCACAATTCACAATAGCTAAACTGTGAAACCAACCTAGATGCCCTTCAATAGATGAATGGATAAAAAAATGGCATATATACACAATGGAATATTACTCAGCAATAAAAGAGAATAAAATCATGTCATTTGCAGGTAAATGATGGCGTTAGAGAAGATAATGCTAAGTGAAGTTAGCCAATCCCAAAAAACAAATGCTGAATGTTTTCTCTGATATAAGGAGGCTGATTCATAGTGGGGTAGGGATGGGGAGCATGGGAGGAATAGATCAACTCTAGATAGGGCAGATGAGTGGGAGGGAAAGGGAGGGGGCAGGGGTTTAGCAAGGATGATGCAATGTGATGGACATTATTATCCAAAGTACATGTATAAAGACATGAATTGGTGTAAACATACTTTATATACAACCAGAAATATGAAAAATTGTGCTGTATATGTGTAAGAAGAATTGTAATGCATTCTGCTATCATTTACTTTCAAAAACCAATTAAAAATTTTTTAAAAAGTACCATTTTGGATGAAAACACTAGTTCTTTTGCCAGGGTTTTTACAAGAAATCTAGGGATTCACTCAGGTTTCATTGTTTTTTTTTTGTTTGTTTTTTTAGGTGCTGATTATAAATGTGACTTCCTAAAAGAGTATTAAAGAGAGGAGGAGAGGAAAAAAGCAGATATTAGATAATCCACTTCTGTATCTTTTGAAATAATGATAATACTTTGCAACTGTATAAGAAGGATAGTCACCTAGTGCCTTGGATTGACCCAGTTTTCTCCTTTTATTTCATGTCGTTCTGCAGAATAACTAGAATGTGCTGGGAATGCAGTATCCCGAGATAGAAACTGCCTGAAATGGCTCAGACTGTGTCCTTGTCCCTGTTAGGGACATGTTACTTCTTGAGTAAGGGAGGAATTACCCAGGACAGCCCAGGCCTTATTTTTATTTTATTTGTTTAACCTCCTTGGAAGAAGGATATCTTCAATGCTTAGTCCAGTGATTTAAGCTGCCCCTGTGCTACATTACCCAGGTGGGCTGCCTTTCAGGGTCCCTTAGCTATCATGCAAATGGGACACACACAGTTGAGACTCCCTCTGCTCTGGCAGCTTTTTTGAGCATTGGGGAATGACACACAATAGATCCGAGGCTTCTCTTGTCCTTTGTTGCCTATCGGTAAGTAGTGAATCCCCTTTGGGTAACTTGTATATGATGTGTTCTGTTTCACTGAATTCAGACCATTTGGGAAATAGTACACAGTTAACCTATTCTGCGGTATCTTTTTCAAGACAGAAATGAACCTGACTCTCATTGAGATGGGTCAATAATTCTTCCTCAAGCTTAAACAACCATCCTTAAACAGTCATGTTCTGCTATGAGGCTTTGGAAGAAGGCACCAGTTTATTCTCCTACTTCTAACATCCACAAATTCTTTGACCTCATTTATTCCTGTTTTCTGTGCTCAGATATTGTTCTGAACACCTGCTACCCAACTAATTGCCATGCCTATTTTTGGTGTTGCTTATCCTGACATCTGGAATGACGGGATTCAACTTTTGCCCCTTATCTGTGTGTGTTCACCGGTATGGAATGATTGAGATGGCTACTCAGGAATAGCCACAGGCTGGCCCTCATTTCTGGATGACTCTGATTACTTTGAGGCCATTTTCCACTCTCTGCTATCAGAGCTTGGAATGAGAATTTGGTAGATTTAGAAGATGGGGTGCTTCTAGAATTTCAACTTTCTGCTTCTTAATGAAGTGGCACAACTATGGAGTTAGAAGTAGAATTTTAGGATAAACAAAGATTCAGAAATCAAGGGAATGGAATGGGAAACCCAAAATAATTAGCTACAAATTTATCCTTTTAACTTTATCCTCAGTAAATATATAAAGTAGGATTGTCAACTATATTCAACATCAAGGGAAATCAGTTCAAATCCTATTGCTGTTTCTGACTTCACTTCTGATTTGAATAGTCACTTACTTTCTCTGGGCCATAGTGTCATTTTTTATCAGTGGGTGTGTTGAACTGGACCTTTGGATTTTTGCTTGGGAAACCATCATTCAGGTTTTCTGAACCTGTTCAAATTGGACATCAAAAGTCAAACACACCTTGTCACCTTGGAGGAAACCCCAAAGCTCCGAAAGTCAGTCTGACAGTACAAAAAGTTGCTTTCCTCCTTCTCCTTGATGATGCCTGTTCACTTAAGCTTCTATTATACAATATTCACCTTTATGTGTAGCTCACTAGTGTGTCAATCAAGCTGTCTCAGCCCAATAAGAGACCCAATGCAAGCAAAGGCTTTCTTTTTATTCCTTTGTCTTTACCCGGTGCCAAACCTAATCCATTTTATCAGCCTTTTATATGCAGTTCCTAAAGAGACGTCTGTTACCTAGAACTTCTTTTCCATTTCCTGGAGTTTTCAAAAAATATCCTCTGTCCTTTAAAATACTTTTAAATTAAGAAATGTAGACCTCTCAGTCAGAACTGATACTGCCATGATGCAACCACTGATTGCCTAGGTTTTTATGTTTGAAACATCATCAAACAATGGATTTGAACAGAAATGGGAAACTTGCTGGGTTTAGCTCTGTGATACGTTCTCATTTAATGGGTTTGTTCAGTTGCACGGACTTTTCCATGGGCATGAATGAGAAGCTTTAAGAGCAGAGATAGAATCACTGCTGAGGAAGTCTTATTGCTACAGATAAACCTCGACTTTGGGGTGAGCTCATAATATAGAAATAATAGCAGAACTAGGGAAAAAAAAGACCCACAAAACTTAGAGATATTGAGAAACAGTGTGATAGACTGGAAAGTTCAGAAACCAGAGAAGCAGGTTATCTGTCCTTTAGCCTCATGCCTTCACAGAAATACAGTGTTGCCGGGTATCATTGGAGATTGGGTCCAGGACCCCTTCAGATACCAAAATCTGCAGACATTGAAGACCTTCATGTAAAATACTGTAGTCTTGCATACACCCTACTCACATTCTCTTGTTTACATTACCTAATTTCTGGATTATTGTAATACTTACTACAATGTAAATGCTATGTAAGTAGTTATTATACTATATTGTTTAGGGAATGCTGACAAGAAAAAAAATGTCTGTTTAGTACAGATGCAAACTTTTTTTCAGATGTGGTTTGTTGAATCTGTGAATGTGGACTACAGAGATATGGAGGATTTCCTGTCTTTACGTAACTGTTCTAGGTCTGATTTTCCTCATCTGTAAATATCCTTTGAGCAAACAGAAAAAACTTTTATTCTCATGCTGTATCCAATGCAGAATTAGACTTAGCATTTTTTTGTCATGTTTCTTTGTTCTCAGTTAACTCTGAACATTTATTCCATTTTTTTCCTTGACTTTCACTATGTTGACATTTGAGGAGTACAGGAAATTTATTGTATAGAATATCTCTGTTTGTTTCTAACATTTCTTCATGCTTAGACTTAGGTTTTACATTTGTGGCCTGGCTACTGCAGAAAAGAAGGTGAGTCCTTGATGTCAGGTCAGAAGGCAAGTGATGGGCTGGAGATATAGCTCAGTGGTAGAGTACTTGCCTGGTAAGCATGAGGCCCTGGGTTCAATCCCTAGTACCACCAAAAGAAAAAAAAAAAAAAAGGCAGGTGATGACCAAGTCCTGGAGATGTTAACACTGACTGATCACTTGTATAGGGTGGGGACTTCCAGCTTTCCCTGATGTGAAATGTCCATGTACATTTTTTTTTATTAGTTGCTCAAGACAATACAATGATCTTGACATATCATACATTTTATTCAAATAGGGTATGAATTCTCATTTTTCCACTTGTATAGATGGCAGGATCACATTGGCTTTACATCCACATGTATCCATACAGCAATCCTAGTGTCAGTTGTAAAGGACCATCCCTGACTCCAAGGATCTCTTTGATTTCACTCTTATCTTATCAAGGATGTTCTCCTTATCTGATACTGTTTTTTTTTTGTCCATGCAAGCTGTGAGAAATGAGCCTCCTGAAGGAAGAAACCGAGTCTTATTTTCAGTGCCAGGCACACAGCTGGAACTCAATTAATGGGTCAAATGAGTAACTAAACTCTAAAATTGAACAGTGCCAGAGGGTTCTTTTTTTGTCATGAAATAGAGACCCGCTCAGGGAGGTTTTGTATGGATGCAGTGATCTTCTGTAATCCAGACTGACCAGGAATAATTTCTGGCTGGGTTTCCTGGAGGCAAGGCTTCCCGAGAATTGAGGCAGTATGAGGAACACTGTCTCTACCTCTTTGCTTCCCCCTGCCTCTCTGTGCACTTGCTGTTCTCTTCCCTCTCTCTTGTGGCTGCCCATTATCAGTCAGTTGCACACCAACCTAATGCCTGCCTCCCTGGTGCATCAAAGATGCCTTGTGACTCTCACAGGTTGGTTGCCATGGCTTGCTGAGCTGCTGTCTCTGCCTGTCCATTTGATTCCTAAAAAAAAAAAAAAAAAAAAAAAAAAAAAAAAAAAAAAAAAAAAAGAACTGGATCCACTGAGCTAATCTGTTGGAACCAGGCCCTGCAAGTCACAGGTGACCAGTTTTTTTAGAAGGTGTGTGAGACAATGAACAGACGAATCAGTCAGGGCCTCAGCAAGAAAAAGGCCCTAAAGGAGGAAAATGTGACAAAGGGACTATAGGAAGGGTGAAGGAAAGCACAGGGGACCATGCTGGACAGGAAGGGGAATGCTGCAAGGGTGAGGTAGGGAGCAGTAAACAGAACTCATGGACAGAGAGGGACAAATCTGCACCCCCAAGTGAGGGAGGAACTGGGCTGCAATGACTCTGCTGGGAAATTCCGGGCAGAGGGAAGGTAGACACCCTGGCCTTGTTACCCTACTCCACCTCCACAGTCTGTTCCCTACCAGCCAAATCCAACTGGAAGACAGACAACAAGGAGGACATTTGGCATAGATCATGGAAGAGGGGGTGTGAGGGGCAAATGAAGATGTCCAACAGAGGGCCTTGCCAGTCTGACAAGACAGGACAAGACAGGGACACTAAGGCAAAGGACGGTTAGTTACCTAGACACAACTCACACTAGAAATCAAGTCTCATATTAGACAGGCCTTTCTGAGAAAAAATATTATAAGACATATTTCATGGAAAACAGTTCTATATGCACATATTAATAACTGATCCTCAATTTGATTACTGTAGATGTAACTGAGTAGTCTCTAGATAGAGAGTAGCCAGGTGTTAAATAGGTTTTTGAAGGCCACTTTGTCTTGAACAGTGTTCTCTGAATACTCAGAATTGCTGCCACTATAGTCATACTTTTGATTTAGGGCGATTTTTTTTTATTAGGAAAATGTGTATGTGTGTGTGTGTGTGTGTGTGTGTGTGTGTGTGTGTGTGTGTGTAGCTGTTCTTAGTATCTAAGGGAGATTACAAATGACTGACTTTATTGTGCATACACAGATAGTGACACATACACAGGGGAGAAAAGAGCCTTCCTTGTCTGGTTTGCTCTCATCTGTGATATTAGTCACAGATGCCTTAGCAAAAGTTAATTCCACATTTCTATTAAATGAAAAGGGCTTAAGGAAATTGAACCTGAGGTTGAACATCAGGGCAGTAGTGGAGAATTGCTGTCTGATTGTTGGGCATGGGTACAAGGTCCCACTTGAGGACAGCAAAGCACCTTCAAAGAAGGGAGATAGAGGCCACACCTGGGCTCTCTTTAGAATTCTGCTCAGGGAATGTTTTTGTAGGAACCTTTAAGTCGGTAGGTGGACATGCAGTATCCCCAGTAGTACATCTCCCATGAGATTGTTCCTCTCATCTAAATGAAACTAAACATAGTTTCATTTTCCTTTCCTTGTGTGATACCCAACCATGCTTTTGTGCACAGGTCAGACCCATGCCAATGATCCTATAGCTACAACTCCCCATGTTGGTGCAAAATATCTCCATAGTCTCAACAGTGGTCCCACTTTGCTGGACAATAACTGTGCTCAACACATGGGGGTGATTATGCCTCTCATCTCCATGACCTAAGAAGAAAGGACTCTGAGTTCTGTTCTTTAGATAAGGAAGCTGAGACAAGCCACAGTTATTTGAGTGAAATACCTGACCTGGGGTGTGCTTTCTTCCCTGGCTCCCAACTTTTTGCTAATTGACCTCTTAGTATGTACTTACAGTAAATCCACTTCAATCTTTCCTACCTTACATCACTACCTCCTAAGTACTTCCAGAGTAAAAATGATCCTTTATTCTTCACTATCTTTCCCGGCTTGCAGCATGTGGCTAAGAGCAGATGAGCCACTAAATAAGTGTTGATTGTTGGGAGAGGGTCTTTCACCCACTCCAGACCTGGCACCAGCACTCTCCCCCGACTTCAGGGTTGACAATACGAGGCCTGGTTTTGTCTTCTTTCACTCTTATTGGCCTTTTTGTGAGCAGTTCTCAGCCTCCTCCTTTAGAGATTACCTGCAATGGAGAGAAACCTCAAAAGAGAGCAAACCAGACAAGGGAGGCTCTTTCCATTCACCATTCACTTCTCACTGGCTAACATGGTGTATCTCCAAGTAAGAGTGAAAATCCTGCTTCCTGGCTGAGCTGTGGATCTGTAGAGACTGATCCAAGCCACCTGAGCTGAGGCTCCTGGCCTACCTACTCCCACCGCTAGATAGCGCTGCTCCCAAACGTTTAGAGTCTTCATCGCTGGTTTCTAAAAAAGAAAAAAAAAATGAGAGCAGCTCACAAAATACACAAAGAGTTTCTCAACAGGATTACTTGGTGTGAAAAGGTACCTCCTAGGATTAAATTAAGAGCTTTTAGAAACAGTTGGTGGATGGAACAATTTAAACCATTTCTGTGTTTTCTTAATTCCCAGTAAGATGATTAGCCAGCAAGCAGAAAATTGGTGAAATTCCTCTGAAAAGAACCAGGTTGCTGCATTAGTACCCTTAATGATGCAGAAATCATTTTCTTCCCCACCTCTCCTCCCTGTCTTTTAATCCTGAAATATAATCTTGCCACCTGGGCAAATGGAAATTTGAACTTTAAAAAAATAGCCAGTAAGTTTTATGAACAAAATAGTATGGGTCAGATTAATGTCTAAGTCGCTGAAAGATATTAAGCAATTGAAGATACTTTTTTCATGGATTCCTTTTTTGGATATAGGGAATGTAGTCAGAAAAAGCACCTGGAATCTCCTAAAACAGGAGACTCTATCTGCAAATATAGTTTTTAAAAGAAAAAGTATATGAAGGTACTAAACTCTGTTAACGTGTACAATTAACACATGCTTACAAAAATAAAACACAATATTTAGAAAGTGTAAACTATTAGTGCTATTTTTATTACAGTTGTCTTATTGACTATGTGGGACTTGTCTATTGAATTGTGGCTTTGATGATTACCAGGCAAAGTTGTGTTTAGGTGAGAAAATAATCACAATGAGAGCGTATGGAGGTGGGGAGACAATATCAACAGTATATCTAAATGAATTAGACATTTTATTTTTTTATTAGTTGTTCAAAACATTACATAGCTCTTGACATATCATATTTCATACATTTGATTCAAGTGGGTTATGAACTCCCATTTTTACCCAGTATACAGATTGCAGAATCACATTGGTTACACATCCACGTTTTTACCTAATGCCATACTAGTGTCTGTTGTGTTCTGTTGCCTTTCCTATCCTCTACTATCCCCCCCTCCCCTCCCCTCCCCTCCCATCTTGAATTAGACATTTTAGAACAGAGAAATAAGAAAGCTAATGAAGAAAAGAGCCATCTCTGATTTCTGCCCTTAAGAAGTTACGTCTAAAAAAGAGAAAGAAAATATCACCACCTACAAGTAGTAATTTTGTGAGAACCAAATTTCAGTTAATTTAGGGCAAAGTATGGCGTGTACCTGTTGCGAATAGACTGCATTTTGACCCAATTAATAGGAAAATGTCTGAGGGTAAATGGACTTCAAGCATGAAAAAAAAATGGAATAGACATGATTTGGTGAAGCCAAATTTGGGGAAGAATTTGGGTGTTGGAAGAAACATAACACCTCTGAAGATTCGCTGCAAAGGGAAGATGGGAAGAGATGGCCTGTTGAAATCAAGTCTCTGCAGCATGTTCTAAGTTTAGGGTGGAGACTATCTTTCCTTAAGATGCCAATTCACCTTTCGAATTAGGACCACTGCTCTCCATTGAGGAAATCTCAATGGAGTTGTAGTTTTCCAGTGTGGCTCTTCTATTGAAAGCTCTCATTTGAAAAGCATGATGCCCTGCACATAGGAGTTTCACTCAAGATGGAGTCTTTGGTTTCCTTCCCAATCACTCTGTGTAAATTAGATCTTCTTTAGAATGAGATTCAGGGTACTTTTTCTCCCCTACGTACGTTGTTTCTCTATGGGCATTTCCCATTTAAGAAATCAGTGTGTGGTTAATTGAGAACTAGGAATGGAGACACAATTGTTATTGGAAATAAAATGTAAGAGTGGAGCCAACCAGAGAGCCTTGGGTCTTTTCAGGCAGCTATAAGAGATAGTGCACAGTCTGCTCTCGGCCTTAGTTTCTCTGTCTGTGAAGGGGAAATAATATTCCCTGATGTTGCCAACCACACAATTGTGGAGTGGTACTTT